GCTGTACAAAGCGCTAAACCCTAAACCCTAAACCCTAAACCCTAAACCCTAAACCCTAAACCCTAAACCCTAAACCCTAAACCCTAAACCCTAAACCCTAAACCCTAAACCCTAAACTCCCGCGTGTTTTCCGAAAGCCGTGATGTCGGGAAAGCCTGCGCGGCTTCGGGCCCTCTTACGGGGCTCATGTGGCGTTGAACGGGTCTTTGGCGCCCCTCACGCAGCAGCGCTGACGAGCAGATTGGCCAGGGCAGCTGTGTAGAGTGAGGCGAGTGAGACGAGTAGGAGGAACCCGCAGCCTGGATCCAAACTCTTCAGGGCTCTCGCAGGGGACTCCGGCATTCCCAACAGTAGTGGTGCAGCCTTGGGAAGGCACTCTCGAACCTCAAGCGGCATGGGGCTTGAACTTCAAGGGCGCAACAGCTCCGGATAACCTACGAGTGGCGGTCGACACCTCTGACATTTTCCCCGCGCCTGAAACAGGGTTGGGTGCTACTGGTATGGATTGTGCCGGAATATGAGCGACTGCCAAACCGGTGGCGGTGCCAATGGACGCAACATGAGGAGTGTCGCTTATCAAGTGTTCCGATCGCTTTAAAGGGTTTTAACAGAAGTTACCCACGGTTTATGTCTGAAGGTGTCGCTTTGGGAAAGTTCTCAAGTTTGATTCCCACCACAACGTTTCATTAAACTAGGGGTGTCGCTGTTCAGATGTTCCCATCGCGTTACGGGGTTCTGGGCTTTCAGGGCTCCTGGGAAAAAGCCAGTGCAGTCTTTACAGCCCAGGAGATGGTGCTGTCACAGTGTTGTCACCAAACAGCCAGAGTCACGGTTGCACATCAAGGCGCCCTGCAAGGGCTGCAAGCTTCTGCAGAAGAACGCTGCACCTTGACTGCTGGCGCTCTGCTGCCGGGTCCCGGGAGGTTGACTGAATCAGCAGACTGGCTCAACTCACATCTCGTCGGTGCTCAATGGCACTGAAACCTACAAGCCTTGCACCGAAAGCATGCAAAGCGCCAAGCATGCAAGCGCCACATGGCGCCATGGCGCTGCCGGTACCACCATCAAAAGGCCCTCCAAAGCCCGTAAGAAGCAAGGGGAGGATTGCACCCGTATACGCCATTCAACGACCTTGCAAGATCTCAGAAACCAGTTGGTCCCAATGTCCGAGGGCTCGCTGGGCAAGAGTTGCAGCATGGAGATTCGAGGCACCTCCAATTCAACTCCCAGCCTGGCAAGTCGGAGTTCTTTCTAGGTTAGAGGTCCTCAAGTTCAGTGGGGGCTCACTGAAACTTTATCTCTCCCTGCCAAAGCAACAGGCAGACCCCCAAGTACTGAAAAGTGGAGAGAAGATGGGGACGCCATGGGGGCCTAAAGGCCCCCCCGATGTGGGCCCTCAAGCGGCTCTCAAGAGCGAACTGCCCGCTTCAGGGAAGCCTCTGAGCTGAAGTCCTGGCGTCTCAAAGAAGGCACTCTTAGCCGGATCTTTTGGAAAGGTTTAGGGTTTAGGGTTTCGGGTTTCGGGTTTGGGGTTTAGGGTTTAGGGTTTAGGGTTTAGGGTACTGAAAACTGTATAAGAATAGGGTTGGCGGAAGTCGGGGGGGGGGGTGGGAAAGTGTTGGGTTGGGGCGTTGGGGGTCTAATTTGCAGCCTTATTGTACCTCTTCTCTCGGGGTTCCTACTTTTACGACCTAAACCCTGAACCATAAAACCCTAAACCCTAAACCCAAACCAAGTACCCCCATGAAAGGGATCTGTGCGACTCTAAACCCCAAAACCGAAACCCGAAACCCTGGTCTAGGTATGGGATCGGCGAGCGGTTTCGAGGTTTGGGGGGGGGGGGGGGGGGGGGGCTGGGGTTTCGAACCCGGACAGCCCCCCTGAACTTGGCTTAACAATCAACAATCATATCTCGTACAGCTTCTGAAGGGCACTAAGCCCTAATCCTTACTCGCCCAAGGCGCTAAAAATGTAGGTTCAAGAAAAATCCCGAAGGTAAGTCTTCAATACGGCCACCTCGAACCCCGAAAACGTAACCTCCTAAACCCTGTAGGACCTGTAAGCCCTAAACCCTCAACCTTAAACAAACCCTAAACCCCAAACCCTAAACCCTTAACCCAAAACCCTAAACCCTCAAACCCTGAAACCCCGAACCCCCGGCGCACCTCCCTGCTCAGCTGCTCAGCAGCCAACGAACATCGTGGCCCGAACGCAGGCACGTCCTCCCGAAGCAGTGCATGGGGCTTGGGTTATGTGATTATGAGGCTGTGGGGTTCGGGCTTAGGGTTTAAGGTTTAGGGTTTAGGGTTTAGGGTCAGGGTTTAGTAAGTTGAGGCCCCTCCAACCCTCCGAAGTCCGAAAGAAGGCATCTCAACCAGGGCAAACACAACATCTCTCAAACGCAGACCTGGAGAGATCCATGACTTAGGGCTTGGAGCTGATTGAGAGGCATTCGGGGCGGCTTGCGAGGGTTTAGGGTTTAGGGTTTAGGGTTCAGGGTTTAGGGTTTAGGGCTTAGGGCTTAGGGTTCAGGGTTCAGGGTTCACCCTTTTTTGGGCTGGCTACTTTATGACTTGAACCAAAAAAAGGGAAAAGGGCAACACTGGGCTTTGTTTAATGAGTGGGGCTTAATTATCTGAATAAGGTTCGTTGGTAAGGTCGAGCCGTAAGACAGAGCTTGTCAGATGTTTGTAGGATTCGGGCTTTGCGGCTAAGCCCCTAAACCCTAAACCCTAAACCCTAAACCCTAAACCCTAAACCCTAAACCCTAAACCCTAAACCCTAAACCCTAAACCCTAAACCCTAAACAAAAAACACAATCCCTGAACCGTAAACCCAACTTACTTCCGTGATCTTTCGCAGACTGGATGGCGGAGGCAAACGCAGCTCTGACCCTCGACCTCATTTGGCGTGCCTGGGATGTTTGGGGCCTGGGGGGGGCAGCTTTTAGGCCTCAGGGCCTTTGGACCCTTTAGGGTTTAGGGTTTAGGGTGTAAGGTTTCGTTGACGAGGGCTTCAGGGTTAGGATTGACGATTTCGGATGGGCGAGAGAAGGTGGGGCCGAGTCAGGAGAAGGAAGGAGGGAGTAAAGTTTAGGTTTTATGGTTCAGGGTGTCTAGAAGGTGGCTGGAAGTGTCAGGGTTTAAGGCCCCTTTAACGGGCCTTCAGCATCAAGACAGGGACAAGGGAGTCGAAGCTACGTTTGCAAGCACAGGGTTTAGGGTTTGGGGTTTAGGGTTTAGGGTTTAGGGAACATACATGCTCCGCATCCCAGGGATGCCCAGGGCAGCGCCACAAAAAAAACACCCCGAATGTAGACCCCAAATAGTAGGAATACCTTATAATAAGGGGGCCCCACAAAGGTACCCCGAATATCGTAAACCCTCGTATTATCAAGGCCCTTCAGCTACAAGAGAAGTCCCATACAGCATGGGGTTGGAGGGTATAAACAACCCTAAAACCTAACCCGTGAAAGGGTACATCTCTGCCAGCAACCCTGCTCCCAGCCCAAGATTGTGGTGGACCGAGCGCATTGCATGGTGGATGTTGGCCCTGAACCCTAAACCCTATAAGCCCTAAACCGGCTGCGCTTTGCAGTGGAGGCGCTTTGGCCTGAGGCTCTTGAAATGGTAGGGTCTGGTTTTTTTCGGTTTAGGGTTAAAGGCTTTTCTCGAGCTTTCGGGCCCCAAAAGTTGTAGGATGATGCAATTTCCGAACGAAACTGTCCTTAGGGGCTGAATACCCTGGCCCCAAATAGGTTAACCTTTCATATGTAGTAGGATTCTATATCACCAAAGGTTAGAGGTTACTTGCCCAGTCCCTAGGTGTCTATGCAGTCCTCGTACTTGTGTAATGAGTACCCATCAAGAATTGTTTTTACATAACCTGCCCTTTCGGGTTAACCTCCCCCCCCCCCACTCAGCCGCAATCCTCCTCAGACTCCAAAAGTCCTGCTTACAAGCATGTGAAAACAAGTCCTGTATACTTCCAACATAACCTTTATAGAGCTCCATCCAGGTGAAACGCCCCCCGGGATGCTCGAACAGGGCGTATCGCAATGTTGGGAAGTACCCGCAGATGAAAAGCAGGCCATTTTCTTGCTCGTGCGAGCGCGCGTCCTACACCCCTTGCCAGGAACATGATTGAGTCCATTTCCCACACAAGGGCAAAAAATGCTGCCAAATTGGCGTAAAACATTCAATTGAGTCCACTCCGCCCTTTTCTAGGACGTCACGGCCTGCAAAAAAAGCTTCGGAGCCCTTGACAACTAGCAGTTGCGGGCTGAGCTGAAGCCAAAAAGGACTGCGACACGGCAGCAACGATTTCCAATGCACACAGGCTATAGCGTCTGGCACAGCTGGACACAACACGTCTGCAGCAGGCGAACGTGCAGTTGACGGCATTGATGGCAGGCTCGGGCGCGATGCAGTGTTCTCCTCAGCAGCTTCACGCAAAAAATGTTCAACATGTTGCTATTTCTCCAAAACACGGCTTGAACCCTCAGAGCTCCACCCTGCCGTGTAGGCTACAGCCCGGAACCCAGCACATGACGCGGTCACCCTCAACTCACCCACAGGATTGATGACACGTGTCAAGCCCATATTCAGCGCAAGTCTAACTCTCGTCCAGTGACTGACTGTCGGGCATGTAACCAGGTTCTGAAGCTGCGTGCAAAGTCGACTTTGGCGAGCTGCCCACACGTTGACACAAGAGCGGCGCCAAAAGAAAAAGCAGCGCCATCCTCCGCGGAGATGTCAGAGGGGCTGCCCGCTTCAGCATGTTCCGTCGAATCAGCAGCGGGGAACCTCAGCAGTCACCTTTGCGTGGCGCACTGTCGGCGACACTTCAGCGTCTTCACCAGGCAGGCTCATCAACAAAATCCTACGTCCCTGCAGGGGTAGAATACAGAAACAAACCATGATGGCCAAACATGACACTCTACTTACACCTCAGTCAGCGACATTGCCACGCCATCGGAGTTTCATCGTCCAGCACGGAATTCAGCCGGCCCGACGAAGCGCCACAGGCTTAGGCTGGAACAAAAAAGCCGCTGTGAACAGCGCTGCCTGCGTGGCTTGCTGGGGCACATCGTGAGCGAGCCGCAGGCATCTACACCTACTTAGACTACTACAATCCAAACCCTTTCAACAAGTCGCTGCAGCTGCAGGATTTCAACCCAGACGGGAGGACTTCCGGAAGACCGAAGAAGAAGCAAAGAAATACAAACACAAAACTACTATGCGTAAACAAACATCATGTCAACTATGTCAATCTGTTCTGAATCAACCCTCCAGCTCTCGCAACAATCAGCACTGCTGCAGTCAATCGTTAAAGTTCTGCGCGGCAACCCATCTTGCACGAAATCCAATGCGCACTTCCATTGGTCAACTGGCAACTGTTCGTATAGCGCAACATGGCATATGGGGGAAGGGAGCGCGACTGAAGGAGCCTTGTCAGAGCAGTGAAAAGCAGACCGCCAGGCGGCACCAGGCGGGGTCAGCTCGTTGGGGATGGTGTTGCCAGGAGGCACGAGTTGCTCGTGGAGCGCTAATTCTGTTGATAATCTCGCCGTCGGAGCGACGAATCGTAGAACCTTGTTGCTGGGGTTTAAGTTGCGTTGTCTAGGGATCGATTTGGGGGCAGCGTGAGCCTCGCGCTGAAGGCGGATCCTGATAAGAGGGGCGTGCGCCAGCATGACAGTGACACACGAAGACGTCGTTGGCTGGAAGGGTGGCAGCGCGGCGTGCTGTGAAAGGGCGCCGGTGTAGGTCTGAATGGGGATTTGAAAGGTGGCTTGCGAGCTGCGAGCGGTTGTCGCAGATCCTTGCAGCTCCCGGATCGCAAAGTCGAAACTATCAGCCTGGACCTTAGGAAAGGATCGGTGCCACAGGGAGCAGACTGCTACGCAGCGGGAAAGCTTGTCGTTGGCCAGGAAGGTGAGACAAGCAAAAAGTGAAACGTGTCCTCGCTCAAGCAAGTATACCTGGCGCTGAGAACTCGGAAGTTACAAAGCAAACAAGCGAGGACAATACTCCACAATGAGATCCTCACCTCATGCGGTTGCAATAGTTCTGTCAGGAAATTGCGAAAGCTCTGGTCTTGCCTAAATCAAGCTCTTTATTGATGTCTTCCTTTACTTCGCGCGTCAGACTAATTACGTAGAAGACTCTATGCCACAGCAAGGACTCCCCCAGCCCGAGGAACAATGGCCCTCAGGCGGCGCCCATGCCTGCGTTTTCCGGAGCTAGCTCGATGGGGAGTTGGGCCTGTGGCACCGCATCTTCCTTTTCAGCAGCCTCCTCCACCTCACTGTTGACCAGTGCTGCGTGGTCACCCGGATGGATGAACAGGCGCGTGAGAAAGTAAGCCTTGGTGAGCTTCCTGTAGACGAGCGTAAGAATATTTCCCACGCTGTCTGCATCTCGGAAGGCGAAAAGAATGGTGATTCTAGCAAGCGGCTGGATGACTGCTTGATCCATTGAAGGTTAGGTTTAGGCGGACCAAGCACTCCAACACGCGCGATCATCTTTCCTGAGGGTTGCAACGTGGCCGGGCCCCTGCGCGTCCTTCTCCAGTGTTGCTTGGGTGAGTCGAGAAGATTGCTCCGACAACATTGAAATTGTTTCATGGATGTCACGGCGGTTCTTTCAGCTCTCTTGCAACGCGCGCAAGTCTGAAGCGGCTGGTTTGGCCATTGCACCACGCAAGTCTGCCAGAGGAGCTCCAACGTATAAGATAGAGCAGAGCGCACACCGACGGATAACCTCGCAGCGCTCAACGCAGAAGTACATGGGTATGAGCGAGTGTAGGGAGAACTGCCAAACTCTTGTGCTGTCAACGGTTGTCCAGTAATGTAGAAGGAAGGAGATGGAGCGTGATTGAGTTGTAAGGAGGGGGACACTGCCCCAAACCAGTGTTCGGTAGTTAGGGATGCGTCAAGGCGCCCAAAACCCGTGCTTTGGCGAGTAAAGAGCAAAATAAAGAGCTGAAGCAAGAAGGGCAAGTAAAAGGGATCAAATATGCAGGCGCAAACAGTGATCCACCTCATGCGCTCCCTGACGAAAGGAACGACTGGCACCGCGCATGCTCTCCCTGAGCCTTTTTCCTACGCCGGCTTCTCACAGTCTTCCGTGTAACTCTGGAACATTTTCATCGGGTTGCTGCGTTGGCGAGACAAAGGAGTTCGCGCTGGCGTCAGACACGAGCATCACGAAGCTGAAGGCGAAGTGCCAGGTAGTGATATCACAGGCAGCAGGGCAACTACAGAAGGCCTCCAACAAGGCCCGCGACAAGGCGTGACCGAACGCGGCGGTGGTTTGGAGGGCGTCGGAGTCTGCAGGGATGGATCCCACTAGGAATGCCCCATGCGCCTGGGAGCCGAAGCAAGGAACTGAGCAGCGTGCTGAGAGGCCCGGGCCAGAGGAGCCATCTGGCAGCAAGATGCCAAGGCTGCAGTGGGCGTGCAGCGAGGGCATGCTCAGGTCTACTTCCAAGCACCTGGCCCCGCGGACGGATGGACAACATGCACACACCTTTTCAACTGTCTCGCCCTCCCCCTGTCCTTCTTAAGCTGCCCTGCCGCCTTAACCACTACAACTTCTCCGAATCAACGGGCGTCAGACTGAGAGCGAGCGCTCCAAGCGACGCCGTAAAAAGTGGGAAGGTCATGGGGACAGCGCGGTGGCGACTGCCCATCGCGCGAGGAAAAAGCTTTCACGCGTTTTCCTCCAGATGCCAAGCCCAATTTCACGCAGTCACGGCGGCACGCAGCTCATTGGTCTAGGGCAAGCAAGCACCTGCTGCAACTTTTTGGAACACGACTCGTCAGGTTGCGCCTTCGTGCACTTGAGCAATGTTTGAGCTCACAGTCGCTCCTTGGGGCTTATGCGCCTGCGCACACAAGATACGCCCTCATCTGCCAGGCAGAATGTTCCCCAAGCTCTCTGACTGTGCATTTTGGAAATCTTCGCAAGAAGTCAAGTTTGCAGGCCTGAATTGCCCTTTCACATTCTTGATGGCACCTCTGCGCCTCTGAACGTAGTCCAGATCTCAGCTACCATAAAGTCTTAAAGTTTCAATGTTGACAGTCCTCCTGATCCGAACCTGGCAATGCACCAATCAATCAATTCAGCTCAGCTGTTGCAAACGCTCCGTGCGCCTTTTGCAGCTCAAGCAATGCAATGTGAACTTCAACTGGGTCAATGAGACTGGGCATGTCAATGCTTGAGTCAAGCGTTGAACTGCAATCGTGAATTCAGAACAAGACTGAGAAGTTGACTCACGGTACGAACGATATGACAATATGAGCACCAATCAACAGACTTATAGACTCATAGCAGCCCCCAGCTGCACAATTAGTAGGTGTTGGAAGGAGCTTCCTCAGCGTGGGTGTAGGCGTCGGCCTGCCATCTGGCCCGATCCCATCGCCTTCGGGGAGGATCCCACGGATCTGGAGGAGGAGGAGGAGGTGGCGGAGTCCCCTGCAAGTCTTACAGTTTTCGGCTTCTGTTCAGAACTGGATGTTCCAGCTGTTGCATAGATTGCCCTGAACCCTTGCGATTTACGATTCTTCTGGAGAACCCCCTAGAATTGGTTGAATTTCTAAGATTCCGTGGAATCCGAAATACATCGTCAGAACTGAAAAGGTTAAATCCAAAGTCATGCCTGGTCGCTGGATGCAATTTGAAGTATTTTCTGGGGTTGATGGTTTGTGGAATGCTTGCCCTAAACCCTAAACCCTGAACCCTAAACCCTAAACCCTAACGTCACTCCTTTCCGGCAATTTTAGACATCTCTGGCATTCCATTCAACCAAAGGCTCGGATGGGTTTTGGGTAATTTTTGCCTTAGAAGCACTAAAAACCTAACCAAGTTCAGAGTTTAGGGTTTTAGGGTTTAGGGTTTAGGGCAAGCTTAGGGTTCATATGCTTTGGGCGTAGGGTTCAAGTTTCGGGCACTTTAGCCTTAACTTGGCCCCTTTGCTGATGACCGGGCTCCATATTCAAACCTCTAAGCCCTAAACCCTGAAGCCCCAAATGCTAAACCCGAAGCCCCAAACCCCAAGCCCAAGACCGTACTGCAAGACAGAACCTCAACAAGGCCCATACAGCACCTCGAGAACTCCCAACACCTGTGGGTTGCCCAAGCATCCTGTAATTAAGTACGGAGTTGTTGGTCTGTATAGGCTTAGGATTTATAGGCTTTAGGGTTTTTTGGAGCTTAGGGTTTCAAAAACGGGGGTGTTTTCAAAACAAGGCCTGGGGTTGCGGAGGTAAAACGAGCCGACAAACTAGCACGCCGACCCGGCCTTGAGATTGATCTGGGCCTGGTTCTGCACCTCTCAGCAAGCACCCGCTTTCTTGTCGGTTTACGGATCTAGGGTTTAGGCAGGGTTTAGGACATCAGGTTTAGGGACATCAGGTTTAGGGTCTTAGCATTTCATTTTAGGTTTTAGGGCCTTTGGGGCCCTAAAAACCCTAAACTCTAGAACCAAGGCTCTTCATTACGAATGGTAAAAAGGCGACAAGACATCAAAACGAGTGATCGCCCGTCCCGCGCCTTGCGCAGCTCTTGCTCGCAGTGTGCGAAGGTGCAATCGGGCTCGCGACACCAACCCATTCTCACAAGTCTAGGACACCGCTCCGTCCGCCAATTGCTCGCAGCCTGCTCAGGGAGGTTCAGGGATGGCTGCCATGAAAACAGGGTTTAGGGTTTAGGGTTTAGAGCAAAACAAGGACACCCAGAAGCCTGGATCAATGGTGTTATCCAGGCCCGAAGGAGCGCCAAAGACTCATAGGAGAACATTTGGGTAGAAGAAAACCTTTAGGCTTTATCTTTTACATCTCTTCACCTTAAAGAAGGAGAAGCCTAAACCTTCTCGATTGAAATTGAGGGGCCCGCTCACAGCTACACAGCAAGCCCGAAAAAACTGCCATGATACCAGATTCGCCCACGATGGCTGTCTGTAGCCGGAAATGTCCACGTTCAAATCCCCCCAAGTCATGCCCTAGGGTTTAGGGTTTAGGGTTTAGGGCTTAGGGTTTAGGGTTTAGGGTTTAGGGTTTAGGGTTTAGGGTTTAGGGTCAATGCAGTGAGATCAACCAAGCAATGCTTCCGGACATGCCAAGCGCGACCCTGACATCATGCGAAGACAAACTTCTTTGAACGAGTTAGAAGCTCCGGCTACTAAAGAAAAAACCAGCCTCTGCACCTCGTTCACTTGATCCCCTAAACCCTAAACCCTAAACCCTAAACCCTAAACCCTAAACCCTAAACCCTAAACCCTAAACCCTAAACCCTAAACCTTGTAACTACCCTAAGGGAAAGCTTGACGTAAGAAAGATCGTCAGGGGCGAGGATGGCACCGGCAGTGCCCATCTCAACGGCAAGAGTTTAGGGTTTAGGGTTTAGGGTTTAGGGTTTAGGGTTTAGGGTTTAGGGTTTAGGGTTTAGCTACTCATGGTAACAACAATACCATTGAAACCCTAAACCCAAAATCCTGAACAGCACACTTCAAACCTCAAATCCCAAACCCCGAAGCCCCACAAAGACCACAAGCCCATGGGCACATCTTGAGAAGAAGTTCGCGTTCTCATGGGTTAGGGGCTTAGGGTTTAGCGGGTTTCAGGATTTAGGGTTTAGGGTTTCACACAAAGAGTAGCGTTCTCCGCAAGAAAAAGTGACCCATGACCCCAGTCTCCCCGGACCACTAAGCCGCGAGCCCTAGAAGCTCGTGTGGCTGCCTCTGTCCTCTCTTTCAAATCCTTCTCGCCGTGGGCGAAGTTGCAAAACTCGCCTTTCAGCTTAAGGGTTAAGCGTTTCGTTGCTTTGGGGAAGTTGGGCAGGGGCTTGAGGGCTTAGGAATTGGGGCCGCAATAGGGTTTAAGGGCTGTAGAGGCTGCATGGTGGCACAGGCTTACGACGCTTTGCTCATTGATACAATGGGGATCGTATCGGGCATGTACTTCTTATGTGTTTGAGGAGGGTACCTACATTGAAGCAGTGGTATTTCTGGATCGTTTGTACTTTGACCGTATACAAGAAACATAGAATCATATAACAATATAGTAGAACCCAAAAAACATAATCACAGAATAGCACAGTATATAGAATGACAGAATAACAGAATAACAGAATGACAGAATAACAGAATAACAGAATCACATAATAACACAGTAACTACAGAATAACAGAATAACAGGACAATGCATCGGCACCGATGCGTCAGGGCCACTCATCAGGCGACTCGAGCTTCACAGAGAAGGTCGTGAAGCAATGCTATGGGCCCAAGCAGGCCCTGCATTCTACGAAACTCCTCCCTTCGGGGTTTAGGGTGTAGGGTTTAGGGTTTCGGGCAGATACACGTCTCACCCTAGGTAGACGCAATCCCTCCGGCGTCGGACCCGGCCTGCTTTGCAATAGTAGCTTTCCCGGAAATATCGGCACAGTTTGGTCTTGCGAGCCGGCTTGTCCTGCGAGACATCAAGTCTCCTAGATCGCTGACGGCAGAGATTCCTGGCAGCTTGCGATGACCTATTGTAGACACACCGTGTTGAAAGACACCAAGACCATAACTCACACATCGAATCAAAAGCATCACTGGTTCATGTTCGTGTCCGATTCGTGTCCTCGTCTGACGATCTGGGCAGATTCCCAGCCTTTCTATTCTCAGGCCAGATATCACAAAACCGTAAGCGGGTCCGTTCCTCTCTTCTCTGCAGGCTGCCGCTACAAGGCTGCACATGCAGCAGTGCGTAGCAGGTGAGCTGTGCGTTTGGCCGCTCATCCCTTTCACAGAGCTGACAGGAGCACTGCATCTAACTCTCTGGCTGTGATCCTCATTACAATAGCACATCCTGGCACCAGGTACACAATCTAGGAGAACCTTGGAGGGGATTTCGGCACCTCGTGTCCAGACAAGCAGCTCCAATTCCAGCGCTGGGCGGGCGATAATTTTGCCAGGGATTTTGCTGTGCCTGAACATGTACCAAGAACTACAGTGTGCAGATCGAAATGGCATGGAAGAATGTCCTAGTTGACAGGAGTTCCTTCCAGCGCAGGACTGGTCAGGGTTTAGGGTTTGTATAGGGTTTAGTGTTTTTGCAAGGCAAAGAAAGGCTGAATCACAAGTGCTCTTCTAATCTGGGATGGCCCTGAAACCCCTCTGAAAAACATTCCTAAACATGATCCTCTTAAACCCGATGCGGGAAAATACAAAATAATCAACAGGCCTGCCGAGTAATAATTGGTTTAGGGTTTGGGGTTTCAGGTTCAGGGTTCATGATTCTAACACAGGGGTAGTTCTGGAATTCAAGGTCTCATAGGGCCCCTTTCTGGGATATCTAGCAACAACTTGATTCAGCTCCCCTAAACCCTAAACCCTAAACCCTAAACCCTAAACCCTAAACCCTAAACCCTAAACCCTAAACCCTAAACCTTAAACCCTAAACCCTAAACCCTAAACCCTAAACCCTAAACCCATCTCCATGAGCAGGAATGTTCCAAAACAGCAGCCGGGCCGCACTGGCAGCCTTGGCATCCGGAAACGGGGCTGCTCTGCCTGCGTCAACGGTTTAGGGTTTGGGGTTTGGGGTTTAGGGTTTAGGGTTTAGGGTTTAGGGTGTTGATTTATTTGCCGGTCTCCTTATATTCCCCGTTGTCAATATGAAAAGGACCCTTCAGAACCGCTGAGTGCCAAACCCTCAACCCAATTACTTTTCGGAAGAGCGTTGTTGTTCCCTTTTTGGGACGTTCCCCCTTAATACGGACTATAGTAGCCCACAAAAAAGGATCTTTATGAAGGGCTGTTAGTATTGGGGGAAACATCCCAACCTGGACCCTAAACCCTAAACCCTAAGCCCTAAACCCTAAATCCTAAACCCCAAACCCTAAACCCTAAACCCCAAACCCTAAACCCTAAACCCTAGCCCTAAACCCTACTGGGTTTAAGAGGGATCATGTTCAGTGATCAATGCTGATCCAGCTGCCGGCTGCCCGACTCCAAGGATCAAAGCCAGGTGCCCATGGATCGGCAGCTTCCTCTTCAGGCAACTGCCCTAAACCCTAAACCCTAAACCCTTAAAGCAACTGCTACAAGAACTAAGAGGACGGCGCGGGGTACCGGCGCCACAACAGGGATGACTGCAAAGAACTGCGGACAGATACCCCGACCGCCGCGGTTGTCTTTCAAAGAACCCGGGTGCGCAACCAAAAGGACCCACAATTGGAGGTCTAGGGTATGTTGCGGCCTGCAGCAAGCTTCCCACAGGCAAGTTCGCATAGTGCACTTCAGAATGCAAAGCTGCCCTAAACCCTAAACCCTAAACCCTAAACCCCAAACCCTAAACCCTAAACCCTAAACCCTAAACCCCTCACGTTGGTCTCTCGGTGCCTTGCTATGCCTTTTGCTGCCATCAAGCTTGGCTGCCGTACTTAAGACAGAGTCAATGCTTCGAGTGCTCACAATGCAGACTGATCAGGAAAGTTAGGGGTGCTTTCGTGTTTCAAAAGCGAGGCCGACTGCGCAAGTGCTCCAGAACGAATGCGGTGATGAGAGCCGCGAAATAAGGAAACCAGGACAAGAAATCTCAGTACATGAGAACGGCAATCAAAAGCCATTAAGACAGCAACACCATTAACAAAAAACAAGAAAACTGCTGAACCGGGATGTGGGAGTGCGCCTCCTCCGCAGCGGACATGTTGGCCAGCCACTGCTGCGGGCGCTCCATGTTCAGGATTAGGAGGTCCACCAGGAAAGCCACGGAGAAGACAAAACATCTTTGCAGTGACCCCTGTCATAACACCCTGAAGTGATCCTTGCATCAGCTCACATCAATCAATGTAATGAAATTCTATATATATATATAGATACATATATATATATATATAGATATACTGCAAGTATCATGCAGATGCTTCTTGAAGTCTACAGTGCGGGGCGACTGGCTTGAACCCTGATGGCAAAAGGCTGCCACGTTGTCAGTAGCTTAGGGTTTAGGGTTTAGGGTTTAGGGTTTCGGACGACATAGCTTGAACCGGAATCGCGGGGGAATGGGAAGTGTGTTGAGACACTTTTCTCTGGTGAGCTCAGTGTTTCAAGTGCTTCAAGTGTTTGTACCATGAATATTCATATTACCATTACGATTCGTAATAATGCAGCACGGAGGGTTACTCACATAGATCCGAAAGGTCCTACGTACATACTACTATATACTGCTACTACATACTATGTACTACAGTACGACATACTTCATACCACTATATGCTACGATATACTACTGTGTCCAACTGCATGTTGCAAAGTAAACTACTTCAATGCTGTGGATACTATCATCCGCGATCACATGCTACTACTACATGCTGCCATATACCATTATACGATTTCATGCTACCATAGCACATTATCTACTCGCAATGTTGCGGCGAGTTCATGTCTTTGGGCTGTGTGAGCGCTGTCCCAAAGCCCAGCCACGACCCAAGGGCAAGCGGATCAGAAGCCTGGCACGGTACTTCAGGATTTCGGCTTAGCACCCCCCAGGTTTCAGCAGCAAGGATCAATTTTTTTTGGGGGGGGGTTCCGAAAATAGGGGTACCCTTTTTTTGGGGCCCCTTCAAGAAGATTCTATGATCAATCTGGGGGTTGCCTACACTTCGTTACGGTCACGTTAAGGGGATACTATTCTACTTGGGGTATAATAAAGGGGTACCCCTATTTTGTGTCATGGCCCTATGAGAGTCGTAGCATCCAAGCCTGGTATGGGTTTAGGGTTTAGGGTTTAGGGTTTAGGGTTTAGGGTTTAGGGTTTAGGGTTTAGGGTTTAGGGTTTAGGGTTTCGGGTTTCGGGTTTCGGGTTTAGGGTTTAGGGTTTAGGGTTTAGGGTTTAGGGTTTAGGGTTTAGGGTTTAGGGTTTAGGGTTTAGGGTTTAGGGTGAACACCTAGGTTTAAGCCGTGAAGCTGCACCCGATCGCCTCAACCTGAACAAGCTCAGAGGGCACGCTGCACCACTGGCAGCAACAAAAGTGTTGCAAGCACAAATGGGTTTAGGGTTTAGGGTTTAGGGTTTAGGGTTTAGGGTTTAGGGTTTAGGGTTTGGAAATGAACGAGCAGTTGCCATTTCCAAAAGTCCATACGAAAGCCATGTTACCTAACAGGAGGTCCCCTTTATAGGAGCCTTCCGAAGTAGGAGTTTCGCGTGAGGGATCTTGCTGTATCAGGGACTCCAAACTCCAAACCCTAAACCCTAAACCCTAAAAATTCAGGAGCGTTTTCAACCCCTAATCCCTGCAAGCCCTGTTAAGGCGCTGGGGCTTGGGATTTGTCCAAAGCGCTTGGGCAGTTTACCCCGACTAAAGAACCCTAGGCCCTAAACCCTAAACCCTAAACGCTGAACCTTAAACCCTAAACCCTAAGTTTTAAACCTAAACCCTAAACCCTGAACCCTAAACCCTAAACCCTAAATGACTGCTGCGCCAGCCTCTGCTGCGGGCAGATACCGACGATTGCAGCCGTGGTTGGAGGACTGATTCCTTCATTCAGGGTTTAGGGTTTAGGGTTTAGGGTTTAGGGTTTAGGGTTTCGGGTTTAGGGTTTAGGGTTTAGGGTTTAGGGTTTAGGGTTTTGGGTTTTGGGTTTTGGGTTTTGGGTTTTGGGTTTGGGGGAGGGTATTGAATGTCCAGGCCTAGACTTTAGGGAAAGGGTCATTGATTACTTTGGGAACTTCTTATGTAAAAAAAAACATTTAAGAGGTTTACACACAATCTTCATGCTGACGACGGTGAGGAGCAGAATCATCATGACGATTAAACTCGGGCATCATCATGACGCATCATGGCAAGGTGGCATTCTAGGCCGACTGCCGCAAAAGGCCATCTCCCAAATAGGTAATGGACCCTGAGCCCAGGGTTTAGGGTTTAGGCTGTAGCGTTTAGGGTTTAGGGGCCCCTGAACCCTATAAAGCCTAAGTTGGCCGCTGGGGGAGTGGGGTATGAAAGGAGCCACCGACAGGGACTTGAAATTGAAAAAAAAAAACGCCCATGGATGTAGGATTCAAGGTCGATAAGGGATGATCACAGTTTTCGATGCGGCGAGAAGCCTCTGGGGGGTTTAGGCTGTTCAGTAACCCTAACCCCTAAGCCCTTACAGCCCTACAAGCCAGCAACCGCCCTACTTGAGCCATTGCCTGAAAAGCCTCAAGCCCTAGTTGCTACACCCCCCAAGCCCTAAACCCTAAACCCCAGACCCAACCCCAAACCCTAAACCCTAAACCGAGAACCTCTTCTTCGTTGACTTCATCGGCCAGCCGGCTGTGGGCTCCGTCGGTGCATGGCTCGGACAATCTTTCGGGTTGAGGGTTGAGGGTTGAAGGTTTAAGGTTTTAGGGTTGAGGGTTTAGGGTTGAGAGTTTTAGGGTTTAGGGTTTAGGGTTTAGGGCTGAGGGTTGAGAGCTTAGGGTTGAGGGTTTACGGTTTAGGGTTGAGGGTTTGCAGTTTAGGGTTTAGGGTTGATGGTGTACAGAGTTGAAACGGTCGACAACTCAAGGGGGTTGAGGGGTTGAGAATTCCAGGGTTCAGGGTTATAGGGGTTTGCATGGGTCTTAGGATCTTGTGGGTTGAAGGGTTTAGGGTTTTGGGGCTTAGGGTTCACGGCTGCACGGTCGATACTCGTAGGATTTGTTACGGATCACGCGATTGAGTTGGCTACACAGCAGCTACCAAGCCGCACACATACATCCAAAGCCCGTGTTGAATTCTTTGCTTCCCCTAAATATTCTCACTTCTAATATCCAAACCCTGTACAGGAATCTGAGGAATCTGAGTATAAGGAATTACTCAGAACAGGGTGTGTATGTTTAGGACGACAAAAGGCTTTGTAAGTAGTGTGCCGGGATGGCAGACAGCATAACGTACCACTTTCTCAAATCGCACCAGGGTCACTGACTTGGGCCCCTGCACTTTTTGCGGCTGCGCAAGTAGACCTCGGATCTTGCTCTTGCTCTTCTTCGTCTTCTGGACATCTTCTGACTTTACATGGCTATGACAGTTCCTATTCTATGTACACTTTTGCAACAAGTGTCTCATTGTAAACCAACAGTTTTGCAACAACTCGCACAAACTTCATGGCTCTCCGGCGCAGGCAGTTAACATTTCGGTCAAGCATCTTCCTTCATGGCCGTTTCAGTGCGACTAACCCTAAACCCTAAACCCTAAACCCCTAAACCCTAGACCCCTGCCGCCCCTACACCAGGAAATGGGAGCCTAGGCTTTTGGAAAGAAGTGGAAGGAAGAGAGCTTCGAGGCCTATAGGCTGTTGAAGGCTTGGGCCTTCCTGTTTAGGGTTTAGGGTTTCGGGTTTAGGGTTTCGGGTTTCGGGTTTGGGGTTTAGGGTTTAGACAAGCGCGCTGGCTATCGCACACTTGGGCTTGATGGACGATCGTGTACGGGACCTTCGGGATGCCATGCACCCCCCAAAAGCCCGATCTTTACAAAAGTAGGGTTTAAGGTGTGGGTTTAGGGTTTAGGGTTTAGGGTTTAGGGTTTAGGGTTTAGGGTTTAGGGTTTAAGGTTTAGGATTTAGGTTTTGGGGTTTAGGGCCTGGGTTTAGGTACCAAACCCGCATTGATTAAGTACCAGATGATCTATCAAATGCTGCGACGTATCTAACAAACACAAGACACAGATAGCAACATATGCGACATTCATGAATGGTTATAGAACTTACCATGAATTTACTAAAGTGTTAGACCATCGACAAGCAACTATGCCGACACTCCCTTCTTGGCTGTTGCTATCAAAATGCCTTCGCACCATATGTCGCCCCGCCCCTCGACACCAACGGCTCACTCCAAACCCTACAGCCCTACACCCCGAAACCCAACCCTAAACCGCCCAGAACCGAAACCCGAAACCCAAAACCCTAAACCCAAAACCCTAAACCCTAAAAATAGCACCCGAAAAGCCGCAGCCCTGGCGTTTCTGCTGTTGAGAGCCCAACCTTCGACTCAGCTGGAAGCCAACAGGCGCCATGCCAAGGCATCCCTACT